TGCTGCACTGAGGAGCTGGTGGCCATGGTAATGGGCATGAGGAGCTGCACCAAGTGATTTGGGGTCATGGTGACGGGCACAAGGGGCTTGAGCCCATGGTGATGGGCATGGAAGCTGCACTGAGGGGCTGGTGGGCATGGTGATGGGCATGAGGGACTTAAGACCATGGTAATGGTCTGCACCAAGGGGCTGCACCAAGTGACTTGGGATCATGGTGATGGACATGGGGGGCTCAGGGAGGTGGTGATGGGCATGGAAGCACTGAAGGGCTGGTGGCCATGGACATGGGCAGAAGGCTTCACCAAGGGGCTTGGGTCATAGTGATGGACATGGGTGGCTTGAGGAGGTGGTGATGGGCACAAGGGCTGCACTGGTGTGCTGGTGGCCCTGGTGATGGTTCCTGCTGTCCCTCAGGGCTGCCCCAAGGTGCGGCGCATCCTGGAGATCTGGGACAGTGGGCAGGGAGTGATCTCCGTGCACTGCTTCCAGAACAGCATCCCAGCTGAGGCCTACACCAGGGAGAGCTGCATGGTGGAGGCACTGGGTGAGTGGGGCTGGGGGGACAGGGTGGAGGAACTGGGTGAAAGGGGCTGGGAGGGACATGGTGCTGCCACAGCCTCCAGCATCAATTCTGCTGCTGTTCTCACTCCCTGCATCTCTCTGCCACCCCATGCAGGAGCTGGGGAGACACAGAAGGGTAATGCAGCCCATCCTGGGGATTTTGAGATCCCCAATTCCCAGTGGAGGCTGTGATTACAATCCACAAACCCCATGGGAAAAGCTGCCTGGGAGTGGGTGCTGGGTATGTGGCTATCTCTACCCACACAGGGATGTGGGTGCTGATGGGGAACAGAGGTCTGGCTCACTGGGTGCTGATCCCATCCCCATGGATTTGTGGGTGCTGACCCCATCCCTGTGGGGCTGTTGGTGCTGACCCTGTCCCTGCAGGTCTGTGGGTGCTGACCCCATCCCCATGGATCTGTGGGTGCTGACCCTGTCCCTGCAGGTCTGTGGGTG